CAAATATGTAAATGGGGTGGGAGAAGGAAGTGTGTTGGAAGAAGACTTGATGTGGCTGTGTAGCCCAGGCCAACCTTAAACTTAGGATCCTCCTGCCTCAGCCTCCTGAATGCCTGCCTCACCAGGCCAAGTTTTTTGTTTTTCTGTTTGTTTGTTTTTCCCCCCTCTTTTGGTGGTGGTACTGAACTCAGGGACTCATGATCTCATTGGGCTTTTTTTTCTTTTTTTTTGGGGGGGGGTGTCCAGTCATGGGGCCTGAACTCTGGGCCTAGGTGCTGTCCCTCAGCTCTTCAGCTCAAGGCTAGCGCTCTACCACTTGAGCCACAGTGCCACTTCCGGCTTTTTTCTTATGTGGTGCTGAGGAATCGAACCCAGGGCCTCGAGCATGCAAGGCAAGCACTCTACCACTGAGCCACCTTCCCAGCCTCATTGGGCTTTTTCATACAAAGCTGTCCCTCAGCCATTTGCACTGTGTCTTCACTTCCAGCTTTTTCTGATTCATTGGAGCTAAGTGTCTCACAGATTTTCCTGCCTGGGCTGGCTTGGAACTTCGATCCTCAGATCTCAGCCATCTGAGTAGTTAGAATTAACAGGCGTGAGCCAGTAGCACTCAGCTGCTGAAAGATTCTGTCCTTACTGTAAAGACAAGACAGCTCTGGCTGACCTGCTCCATATATTCCCTCCCACCCTTGCAGCTTTTCTGTTATGGGACCCTGCTAAGGTGCCCCCGCGCCTGCAGGACGTGACCAATGACCACATCCGGATGCACAAAGTACTGCAGGAGTCTGGCCTGAAGTATGTGGCTGTTATGCCTCCACATATAGGTAAGTTGTCACCAGCCTGTTCCACCACACCTTCCAGAGGTATCTACAGGGATTTTTCTCATTATTCTACAAATAAAAATTGAGCTGGGTTAGGTGACACAAGCCTGTCATCTCAGCACTTGATGCTAATTCATTAATTGGAGATGAGAGTCTCAAGGACTTGCCTGCCTGCCTGCCTAGACAGGCTGTGAACCCAGATCCTTGGATCTCAGCCTCCTGAGGAACTAAAAGGGTCGGTGTGAACCACACCAACACCCAGCTTTTTTTTTTTTTTATGGTTTTGTTGTTGTTTGTTTTAACAAATTCTGATGACACATTTTCAACCCTGAGTTCAAGTGCCAGTACTGGCACACACATACACAGTAGGAAAAATGGGGGAGGGGAGGAGAAAGAAAGGACATCAAAGGGCTGGGAAGGTGGTTCAGTAGTAT